TTCTGAACATCCTCACAAATACAATATATGTATGTACTTGTTTCAGAACATTGAATCTATGTTCCAGTACCTAAAATAAGACACACGGGAGCACAAAAGAAATAATTACAGTTTTTGAGATGAAAACCAAAATTTGAGATATAGTTACACATAAGTACTTCTTTATTAACACAATTCCTAGATTCAGCAGTGGGTCTAATAACTATTATAATTTCAAAGTAATGATATGTATACATGAACAAAATTTCAAAATTTCTCCTGAACTATATAGCATGCTATGAAAATGTCTGTATTTTCTGTTGATGACAAAATCATATCTAATGTGACTATTTCTATGATTTTTGAATATATTAATAATTGAAGGAAATCATAAGTTTCATTAAAGGTTAGTAAAAAATAGAGATGTGATTTCCCCTCATCCAAGTCCAGAAAGCCCCTTAATTCTATTAAGAATCTCTGATCTAGACTGAACCCCTTTAAAAGCAACATTCATATGCCAACCATATTAAAAATTCAGAATCTGGCAAAAACTTGGCACACAGTAGATGTTCAATATATAATTTTGAATGACAAACTCATGAATGACACTACTTAACTTTTATTGAGCTTGTAGTACATGCCAGGTATTATGCTAAGCACTTGAAATGTTCTTAAATCTTCACAAAAACCTTTTGATTACTGTCCTTATGTAATTGAAGAGAAATCAGAAACTTAGATAGGCATATAATTTTTAAAAATTTGTTTAGTGTAGTTGCACACAATACCTTTATTTTATTCATTTTTATGTGGTGCCAAGGGTCGAACCTGGGGCCTCGCATGTGCTAGGCGAGCGCTCTACCACTGAGCCACAATCCCAGCCCCAACTCAAATATTTCTGACCCCTAAACCCTCAACTGACTGCTAACTTTTATATTTTACCATTGACAAGTGAATGAAGAGATTAATGCATAAATGAATGAATTTAACCATGTACATCCTTTATTCCACTAATCTTTACAACTAGTAGAACAATTTCAAAAAGCAATTGGCTGGCTGGCATTAGTGATACAGTGTGGTTGCTGAAGAACAGTTTTTAAAAGGGTAGAATTAATATTTTATTGTCATTTATACTCAGATTGCAGCTGGGTACATAGTTTCCATACTTCGTATTTTCCTTAAATTTTCCGAAATTGCAAGCTTTAAACAGCCGATGGGTGGTTATGTTTTTCAGAAAACACGATTAGAGAAATTCATTAATGGTGGCTTTAAGCTTTTCTTTGTTAGTTCCAGAAAATTCACCCACCTTTTGGCCTTTTTTAAAAAACTGGAAGGTGGGCATGCATCTGACTTCACACTCCACAGCAACATCCTGACAGGCATCCACATCTACTTCCAGGAACAATGCATTGGAATATTTTTCAGAGAGAGAATGAAGGAAAGGCTTGATCATTTTGCAAGGGCCGCACCAGTTGGCCGAGAAGTCAACTACCACAAGTTTATCTCCTGCAGCCTCCAAGGCTTCCTGAAACACTTCCTTGCTGTCGATCTGTTTCACCATTTTGCCTGTTGGGGGTCCGACAAGCAGCTGCTGGAGTAGATAGAAACAGATCCAAGGCGCCTGAAAGAGCTGGAACAAGGATATTTCTTTATATGAAAAAACTCGGCCCCTTGAAAAACTCAAACTCCAGTGCTTATTAACACTGGCCGTAATCAACTGAACTGTCTTCTAGTAAATGCTAGATGTCAGAATGCCTACAGTACCAAGCTCAAGTAGATACTCCTGAGTCATGGAGACTTCTTTCTTATCACAGAAAGCAGTTCTTAGCACACATCATATTGCTTATGGAAAATTATCTGATCACCAAATCTCCCCTCCTTTCTAGGAAAACACTCATAAGGGTCACACTCCAATTTGTGACATATTGTCCCATGTAAGATCTTGAGGAAACAGTGGAGAGGAATAAAGGAACCCTGGGATGTCAGGGATTCTAGAATCTTCTCTTGTTCCTAGGGCTTAAATAGGTGGATGTCTTTACAGGGAAATAAACCAGTTGGTCTTTTGATACTGAAGATCTTTTGGTCCAAAGGAAAGAGATTAAGTTTATTCATTTTTCTGAAAAAGGTGTTCTTCATATAAGGTCTCCTAAAATTTAGGAAAATTTAACCAGGTGCTTAGATATATTTAGATATATTTCTAAACTTATCTGTTCTTTTTTAAAAAATATTTTTAAGTTGTAGATGGACACAATATCTTTGTTTTATTTATTTATTTTTGAATCTGGGGCTGGGGATTGAACCCAGTGCCTCACACATGTGAGGCGAGCGCTCAGCCACTGAGCTATAGTCCCAGCCCCCTAAACTTATCTATTCTAATTTTACTGTTTTCAAAATCACACAAATAGCTGGTCCTAGTGACACACACCTGTAATCCCAGTAACTCAGGAGCCTGAGGCAGGAGGATTGAAAGTTTGAGGTCAGCCTCAGCAACTCAGTGAGGCCCTATACAACTTATCAAGACCCTATTCCAAAACAAAAAAAAAAGGGGGGGGGCTAGAGATACAACTCAGTAAGGCATCCTTGGGTTCAATACCCAGTACCCCAAAAGAAAAAATTATACAAATAATGTTTCTACATGTAAAAGCTTCAAATACACGAGCACTAAAAGTAAAAAATGAAAACCTCTTTTGTGCTCCTGAGTCCACTCCTTGGAATTAATTACTATCAACATTGCTTCACATATAGAATTCTAACTTTTTTCTGAATACATATATCATATATTTATAACTGTATGAACCATAAATATGTACACACAAGGGCACGTGTGTATACACTTTCATATATACGAATATAGCATTACTGTTCACATATTGTTTTGCAGTAGATTTTTCCTTTAACAGTGAGTCAAAGACATCATGCCAGGTCACCTCATGTTTCATTAAGAATGCAGAGTATCCCATTTTATGGGTTCCTTATCTTATTTTGACTATTCTCCTACCTAAAGCCATAGATTATTTCTTCTGTTTACTATTGGAAACCACATGGCAATGAACAAGGAGGATCACCTTGTGTGAATGCTCATACACAGATTTCTAGGCAGGTGATGTACCACTGAGCTATATCCACAGTCCACATGTGGATTTCTATGGGGTAACTTCATTTTCATAGATGTGCTTGGCCCAAGAGTCCCATGTTTTGACTTTTTTGTAGTTATCAACAAACTCAAGAGGAGACTTTTTAAGCTTCTATCCCTAAGGAAATTTTCCATGAGGTTTCAACTGACTGTGAGATCCATGGCTCTGAATTATCTCACTCCTAAATCCACAGGCTTCCTTTACAGCAAAGTTAACATGTTTTATGTATTGCCATAATTTCTCCTCTAGGGTACACTTCAAACTATCTTTTATTTCAGAAGTAATTATTTATTTCAGAAGTAATAATTATTTATTTGCAGCAAAATTCAGAAGCCTCTTTTGCTTCAAGTAAGAGAATAAACTCCATTTCCATTGCAACATTTTTCCCCCTGGTCAGCATACACACACCTACAACTTTATTAAGTCCATCTTTAAGCTTCCTTCTCCTTTTCTAATTGTATGAACAAAAGAATACGTGGATTGATAAGAAAGGGAACTGCATGGAAATGTATAGGAAGTGACTTCACTGAAGACTGGAACAAGGGAAAAGTTAAGAAAATTGAAGAACAAACCATTGAAACAAAAATCTGAAATAATGCCCTAAACTCCTCAGGCCTCAATAAATACTGATTTTTTTTATTATAGTCTAAGAAAATGATCCTCAATAATTTTATAAGCAAATGTGAATTTTAGAAATTGTTTTAATCCTTTCAACAAATGTCCTGCATTGTTTGCAATGTCTCCATCAGACAGATAAGGAAACTCAGTCTCATAGAACTGATGCCCTTTGGTCAACATTTTACAGCCAGCAAAGTACTTAAGTTGGGGCCCAGACTCAGGTTCACCTGATTTTCTTTCCACTGAACTGCATTGTTTCTCCTGCCATCCAAGTTGCCAGTTCAAAACTTCACGGTGAGAATCAAGACTAAGGAATGGAGGTGCCAAGATGCAGAACTTGGCTCAGCATGAGGAACATAAGGAGATGAGTGCCCTTTCTTGGGAGGTCAGGGAACAAGTCATTTGTTGGAGATTTTGTAGGTGAAATTCCCAAAGTGGATCAAACACTGGATCAAATGACTTCCAAGTCCTCTTCCAACTCTCTTGGACTCCCACACCCAGTTTACAGATAGGGAAGCAACAATTGAGAGACTTGCTCAAATCCCTAGCTAACTAGTGCAGAATCTGGTAATTCTTTTACTGGCCTACTAGAAAACGCCTACTTTCAAATTTGCAGACTTTCTTGCATCTTATCTACATAGCGTTGGATCCCTTTACCAATTTGTTTGTGACTGGCTAACCTAGCTTCCACTTGATATCTACAACCAATCTATGTGATCAGGGGCAGCGGGTGTCACACTTTTCTCCTCCAATCTCTTCCAAGAACAAAGGCACAGAGGCAGCCTAGTCACCCTGTATCCTCCTACTTCTTGGTAATATTTTAGACTCTGAATCCAGTACTGTACAAAAATCTTGATGATATACCTATACATAAAAAAAAAAAAAAAAAAAGGGTCCTAGGAGAAGCAGAGCTAGAATATTCCCAGAAAACACAAAAGTCAAACCCAACCACAGGGCCATCCTGTGAAAATTCTGGCAAACTTTTGAA